GATGAGGCAGTGGAGCTTGTAGAGTCTTATATCCAGAGCAATCCTTTTAGTGATCCAGCAAAATATCTCGTCGAGCAGCTTGTATCAAGAGCAGCTGATTCTGCAGGTGAAATTTGAAAACCCCATGCTAACTTTTATATTACTCCCAATAAACAAGTTTGTTTTAGCCTTTTAGGTACAATTTAGGTCCTCAATGTCTGTGGCCAAATGATTCGTCCTTTCACTTTCAATCCGATCACATTTAGACGCACATGTTTCTAAACCATGTATCAATTAATATTAGTACGTAACATAAAATCTAAATCTATATCAAACAACATTACTAACAAGTTATACGTAACGTAACTCTTTCTTCAAACTTTGTGTAACGTGTGGGAGCAGCCTGTCAGGTCCTTCGAACTTCCCTCTTCCTTCAACTGTACGCGACATCACGAGAGGTTTAAGAGAATCAAAAGAGATATTGGTTAAGAGAACTTAAACAGATTCTTGCAAGTGAAGGGTGTGGGGAATATTTAGACTTTTATGCTCTTACTGATAGTGGAGATCAATCTAATCCTACTGTCTACATTCATTTTTCAGAATGTTCCTACAAGATATATTTACGATGAAGACTATATATATTTACACAAATCTCTCTAGAATGTACGAAAGATATCTACAGGAATTCTGTATAATTATCTAACGTCTTCTCCAAGGCTTTTTGTTCGAGTCTTCAAGAATTCTCTTCAACATTCAAGAAGCTTTTAGACAATACTTAAGCTTTAGTGCTCTTTTAATTCCGTTGGATTAGTTTGCTAAGTGACATTGATGCAGGTTTCAGCATGGAAGAGTTGATGAATATTCCGGCGGGAAGGAGGAGGAAGTACCATGACGATGTAACCGTAATTGTGATCATGCTTGGCACGAATCAGCGGACTTCAAAGGCATCAACTTGCATGTGACTGTATGAGTTTCTCTGTGAAGTGAGTGTACTTGGTCATGGAATGTGTATATAAAATAGAGACGTGTTAATGCTTTGACAATTTTTTTTAAATAAATCCTTGCTTGTAACCATATTATCATGACTCAGATAAATGGCTGAGTCCTTTTATGATATAAAATGGTTACGTAAGTTTTATGGGATACTTGGTGTCTGTTAGTGCTTTAAGATATTTCTTTTGCTCCTTGAGTTAAGCCCCCATGTCTCCACCCATGCATACATATGACATTTTTCTTTCTTTATTTCCTTCTTTTTCTTTTTTCTTTTTTCCCTTTTCCTTTTAACAGTTCTTCATCATCCAAAAAGCTTGTTGAATAATTTAGGGACAACAGTTAGGTTTCAAAAGAAAATAGCAGATTAATGATAGTTAACTCTTTGACAATTTTTTTTTTGAAAAATAACTTGTAATTATTAATTCTAACAATTGCAAGTTCAGGATTTTTAATTGTAATTAAGACATTTATTTGACTTGCAATCATTTTTCTAATTTTTTAGAACCTAGCTGACATTAATTTTCTTTTAGGATCTAATCTAACTGTTATTTTTCCAATAGTTCAAAGCAAAAGAAACTCTTTAAAACAGCAATTCTCTTGAACAATTTATTTGCTCTATTCATAAAATTTAAATTCTTTTTATTTAAAAGAAATTGAGTTTTTTTTATTATTCAAGTTAATTAACAAAATGTTAGTAAGAAAAGCATAGATTTCTAGTAACTTTGGGGGAAAAAAGAAAACCCAACAAAAACTAAACAAGGGAAACAAAAAATTAGAGATTACCATGTACTCATATGGAACCTATGATTTATTACCGCACGATTGTTTCCAATTTGCAGACACAATTTTCTTTTTCGAAAAAAAAAATCATATAATCAAACGTGTAATAGGAGTTAGAGGGATCATTCACCATCAATGAATTTGAAGACAAAGCCAACATATAAACAAATAAGTACATTTGTCAATGGATCCCGAATGTTACATGCCAATGTCTTTTTATGATCAGTGCGGTCAATATGGCTACATTTTGCCCAACACAATTTCTTTTTCCATAAACATAAATTTAGGTGAGTTAATTTTTGATGTCTCATCAAGATCAGATCAAGCTTTTAAATTCAAAGAACGTTTATAAATATATTTATAAATTACTTACTAACAAGATTTAATAGAATTTGTGGAATAGTCAATTTTTTTTTGCAGTTTAGATGCAGACCGCAATAAAGATGGTAATTCCGGGGATGCATGAAATATGCACACCGGACCTGAGAGAGGCTCACCAGTCTCTCCCCCACACTTTCCATCCACTTCGCTTTTATTTAAGATCTGAAACATATCCCTAAGATCTGCAATGAAAATTTCATGTTTTATAAACGTATTATTAATGTTTCAGGTCTAAGATATGTTTAGAATGTTTTATTTTCAAATATGAAAGAAATTTAAAGAAATTCTACGAATAATTAATATTTTTTTTATTTAAAATTATAAAAGAAATACTTTCTCGTATGCTAATTATAGGACAAAGTTAACTAATTTCATAGTTATTAAAGAATATTAATTAATATTCTTAAATTTGTAAAAAATATTTAACTTTTTAATTTTACCCTTCACTAAAATTAATAACTACAATTAAATATCTTTAGAAGGAGAAAACTACTATTACATCTTTATCGTACATTTAAAGCCAAATAGGACTTTAAAACTGTACTCTACAATTAAAACTGAAGGGAGTATATCAAAATTACTTATCTCCCATTAAAAAAAATAATTAATGATAGGAACTCCCCTTAGATTCCAAATATAAATCCTGATCTCTAAAATTTTCTAGTTCAAAATATAAGCATTAATTTTGTTTCTTCTTCCTAATTTGCCTGTCCATAAGTTAATACCATGGATAGTTTATCTTTGCATTTAGTAAGAGTAATTTTAGAAAGGCCATAATTTTTATTTTTTTTACAGATTTATTATGTTCCATTTAACTCCTTTACCTAGTGTCTATATGCAATTAAGTAAATTGACCTTACATTTTGGACTATTCCGTAGAACGTGTTACACATTGAAATATAAAGCTTCGCAAAGAAAAAAGTCATATATGAAAAGGGAATGAGCAAAGGTGAAAATAGATTAAATCAAGTTAGCCTTTGGCTAAATAAACCCAAGTCTGTGTAATAAATTAAAAGTCTGAACCTGACTTGACTCTTATATAAGTCTTTTTTTACTACTTAAGTCTAAGCTTATCTAAAATTTAACATGGCCTGAAATTTTATTTAAAAGTTTACTTAAAAGTAAGCTTTTTATACAGGCTCGCATTTTAATTTTAAATATCTCAAATATACTTTATGACTATGATAATACACAATATATAACCTAATTTATCAATTATAATATATAATAATTAAAAGGATTTTTCAACTATAATACAATAAAATACAAAAGTAACAACATTCAAATTAATATGCAAATTCAATATAATTGAAAATATAATTAAAAATAAAAAAAAAATAAATTAATTTAATATCAATGGTGACACTGATGTATTTGTAATATATTACATTATATGTATGTAAATAAGTTGGTCTGTTGAGCTTGTAGGTTATGCCTTAAAAAATATGCCCAATCTATTTAATTAAATAAATTTGAACCTGTAAATAAATTAAGTTGGATTTAAAATAAGCTAGGCTGGCATATTACCATCCTTAGGAATGAGTAATTAAAAAAAAAAAAACAGTTAAATCTAAACCATCCATGGACATTTGAATACTTCAGTGGTCCCTCTCTCTCTCAATCCAACAATCACCAGAGAAAATGCAGCCACCGTGAAAGCCTGAATTAGTGTGAACTGTAATGATACTGATTAACAGTGAGAGATCCATCAATCCACAACAGAACACCAAACATTGACTCTCACTGTCAAGCTTATTTCATGTGGGCCAACACAGCCCCATTGATTCTCAACATGCATTGAACCTCTACCCCAACCAAAAAGTCAACATCTCACAGTTAACCCCACTCTTAATAATTAGATTACGACCTAATCCACCCGCCATTAAATTCGGCACCGCATCACAATGGAGAAATAAATACTCAGAATGTAAGGCCAAAAAAAAAATTAAAGAAAAGAACAAATAAGCAGCTAGTTTAATCTTCCTTTCTCATATCTGTATAATAGATACCTAATCACAAGATAAATTCTAGAACAAACTGGCTGTACAATTTTTCCTCAGAATTATCAGTGCTGTCATGTAAAAGTATGGCATCAAAATGAAATTCAGAGAATTATTGATACAAGTTCGTCCAGATAAGTTGCTTAGCAAGAGGGAAGAATATTGTGCAAACCGGAAATAAGGCATAAGAGCTGTAGTTAGATCAATCATTACCCCCTTTCTGAAATTTGCATTAAAATGTATTTCAGAGACAACCAAATTCCATCTGCAATACCAAACAACTGTGTACCTGATGAAGGCAGAACTGAAATGACCCGAGACTTTAACCTTTCTATGCATATTCACACATTATGCTGTTTTTATGCATCTCTATATTTCAACTCAGAAGAATCACATGATGATGGAGGGGCGAGTGACTCTAGGAAATGAATGGAACAATCAAATAATAAGAAGGCATAGTGCATTGTCACACTCATCACTAGTAAAGATGCAGCATTTTGCTACATTACTAGGCTCCATAGAAATGTAATTGGGGCAAACATACATAAAAACGGAAGAAGATCACAAAGATATAATGACAGATTTCTACAATCAAAACCTTCAATAACTTCAGATTAGCCCAGGGAACACTGCAGAATGGAAGGGCTCTATCTAGTCGCTGTGCCTTCCCTACTTACTGACAGTGAGATAGCAATAGAAACTTACAAGTACAGCGTCCAATCCCTGCTTCTATATTCATATCAAAAGAATGATAAGATGCTACACGCATAATATGCAAGATCAATTTCTAACTCAAAATCTTATCACTTCCATACTCTCTCTTGAGGTAAAATCACAAGATTTAGATAAGATGCAGGGGAGCTACAATTGGATAGAATTGATTCACTATTTAGCTCAAAAACAATATTACCAAGGAATGCATCGAGACCAATGGATTATTGCCAATGAAACACAAAAACTCTCTAATTTAATCCAGAACCTACAGTAGATATAATTAACTAAAGAAGGAAGGAAGAAGTAAAGCAACCAAAATTATAATTACAGTGAGTAGAAGAATGGCAGAACAGGTCACAGAGCCAAATTGAGTTCTTGAAGTCTTGTTTGAATTTTCTGCAATGTGCCGTCAATCGATACATCAAAGGCATCTTTCTTAGTTCTGAGACCAGGTGAACTATTGTGCCTTCTGTACATAACTCTGGGAATCATCTCCAAAACTTTATCCCTCATCCTCCTAACTCTGCCTCTAGAAATGCCTCGCAACACATCGAAAATCTTCACCCCTTTGAACACTACATCCTCCTTCGGTATGAACACCGAGAAGCTCTCGAATTCGTTCTCCGGCAAATGCCAGTCGTACTGCGATTTCGCAGATTGATCCTCGAAGAAAACCGGGATACATCCAGCCAAAAATCCATCAAACGTCGACCTACGAGTCGGAGTATCCCCAGGAGGTTGCAAACAGAAACTTGCCTGCAACATTGGCCTCATGTACTTTATAGGATCATGCTCACAAATTCCGTTAGAGCAATCAACAAGGTCACACAGTTTCGCATAGCCACCGTATAAGGTTGAGTTTGCAGTATTATTCTCGCACTCATTTCTAATGCTTCGTCGAATATTAGGCGCGGCGGAGATCCCTCCGCCGCCGGCGAACATCGCCAAAGCGGTGCGTTTCGAACGCCTCGCCCGCTGAATCCAAGACTCCAATAGCTCGAGATTTGGCGGATGAAACGACGTCGGATAAGGGACCGCGTGTTCTTGCCATGGCCAAGCACGAGACCCCAACGTCAAAGCCGTTACGTTGTAAAACTGAGGCAACTCCAGAAACGAAGTCCCCCATATGGGTGGATCATTCTCCAACGGTTGCGAGAAATCCCACGCCGGCCGAGCCATCACCAGGAAATGGTCGTGACCCATGTGCCGATTCCAGATTCCGGGCTCGTCTTCTTGCAGAAACTCGAACAATTCGAGCCCGTGCTCGGCGCTAGAGTTAATCTCCGGGCCGTAGAGATAGCGCAAAGCGTCGAGGCTAGCATAATAGGGAAGATAAACCGCGTTAGCAGAAAATGGATCTTCTGTGAGACATGGGTACTCCAGCATGCGACGATGAAATATGAGTTCGAGCATCAACGGGTCGGTCCGATACCAACTGTAAGAGCGGTTATGGGTCTTCTGGCCAAGGCCATGATTGGCCAAGTAAGGGCAAAAGTCGTCGAAAAGCGGGTATTCGGAGCAATTCATGAGCAGATCGAGGTTGAAGCGCGGAGGGAGACTCCGGAGGTAGATCCAACGGTTGTCGCAGCCATCTTCGTCTGATTCATCACTGGAAGTTGCTTGAGAGACAGCAAAGCAGAAGAAGAAGGAGAATAACAAGAGGGTGATGAAAACAAGGGTGGACAAAAGTGAAGCCATAGGAGAAATGTGGATTTTTACAGAAATGAAGAAGATGCTATATAGGAGTAACAATGCAGACAAGCTGGAGGCTTTTTCTTCTTTGATTCACCATGACGGTGAATTCTGGATTTAATCCTTCCTGTCTCTTCTCCCTTTTCGGAATCTGAGGGAAAATTACAACTCTGATTATTACTATTTTATTACCATTGAAGGAGTGGTATAGTGCTTGTCCTATCTGTTGTGGTCGTGATTGTGAACAAGGAGCATATATTGGAATCAGACAGGAAGTGGGATACAAAAATTATTTAATTAAGAAAAGAGAGAGAATTCAGTTTAGCGACGAAGTAGAGGGTTTTGAGGTTTGACGTGGCGAAGTTTGACCCAGCAGTTGTCGGTGGAGGAAACAACGGCTCAGGACAGGACGGAACACTCAGCAGTGCCACCAGATGCGGCGGCGTCTTGACACAGTATTTACGCCTTTACGGTCCGTTCGTGGAGAAACTAGAAATGGAATTTTCTTACTTATCCGGTGGATGTGTGTATCAGTGTAGGACTGAAGGTTGTAATGAACCATGCTACATGAAAATGTGCGAAATCCATGCTATGGTTAATAATCTGTGAATCATGTAATTTATTATAAATTTCTAAAAACTATATTTTATATTGATAATCAATATTTAAAATATTATTGATAAAATTATTATTTTTAATTAGAATATGAAAAATGTAATTTTCCATTCCAACATTGTCCAGCTCCTGGCCTCCTCCACTCTGATCAATGCCTGTTATTTCTATTAATTTTAATTTTAAATAAATAGTAAATAAGTTTATTCACATATTTTAACAAGTTTGAAAAAATGAGATACATATTTATTTTGTTATTGATATTTTTTTAATAAAATCCGATGTAAAATTGAAACAAATGATCGTTTACACTGCACTACATGGTTTGAGAAATAAGGCGCAAGATTCATCTTTTGTAATCAGTTCAGTTTGTTAAAATTTACAATCCATCATAGTTAAGAAAATTGGGTACATTAATTTTTTTTATTATGTATTGATATGTTTTTATTAAAGGTAATCTTATTTGACACAGGTTTTTAATCCAACAACTATACCGTTCAAGTATTTATTGTGCCAAGTGTGGAATACTATATATATTTTAAAAAAAAAAACTTGCAGTAAATGATCAGGCAAAATATGTTGTAAATGACATGTAAATGATATGTTGGTTAAAAAAAATGACACTATGAAATTAAAATATTAAAAATTTTCAAATTAAAAACAGGCAGCCAAATATTTTACAAGTAAACTGAACAAGATACTGCAAAGTGCTGCCTTAATTTTTTTACTCTTTTCTTTTCAGATTTATTATCATTATTTTTTATTGTTGTGAAAGGGAGAAATTTTCCCAAGCGAAACCATGGGGCTATTGGCCATAAAAAAAAATAAATAAAATAAATAAAAAGGAAATTGATTGTCTCTGTTTGCAATGAGAGAATATAAGTGCAAAAGTAACCAAAGTATTCAATACTAGAGATTGGCCAAAAAAAAAGATATTCGACACTAAGATAACTTAGCACGAATAAAAGTGATAAATTTAATAAACTTCATTTAATAAATAATTGAAAGCAGGATAAACCGGAAAAGGCAAATGACATAAAAGGGCTTGCTTGCCTTCCTCATATTGCTTTCAATGACCATAATTAAAAAGTTCCCACTCACGCCGAAAGCAAGCCTCTCAAATGAAGAAGTCTCCCATAGAGTCATAGTTATGCACTTTAGATCTATCTTCATATTTCATTTCATTATTCACTTCCCTTCTCATTTTTTCAAAAAGTGAAACTCAAAATTACACATGCAGAAAAAAATGAAAAATATTTTTTGTATTTATTAGTCTCTTTTTTTTTTTGCCAGCATTAATTAGTCTTTGTTAAAACCGTACTATTCCATATTATATGTTAATCTCGTAATTTTTACACTCTATTATAGTGAAATTGAATTGAAGTTTAACGAAGTTACGCGTAGCAATTCCTGGATATAAAACATTATTTTATTTCTTAGTAACTTTTAAAACTATATATTTATTGATGACACTTGTAATATTTTATTCTGAATAAGATCAATTATTTATGCATAGTAAAGACGAGACCCACTCTCTCACTCCAAGTTCTCTGCCACTGTAGAGAGAATAGCCACACCCCCACGCCAAAGCTCTCTCTCTCTTCTCTCTCTCTCTTTCTCTGTAGCTATATATCTATAGTTGAGCTTCGAGCAGTCTTTGGTTGAGAGCAATGGGGCAGGAATCTTTTATATATAGCTTCGTCGCTCGGGGGACGATGGTCTTAGCTGAGTACACTGAGTTCACCGGCAACTTCCCGGCGATTGCAGCTCAGTGTCTTCAGAAACTACCTTCCTCCAACAACAAGTTCACTTACAATTGTGACCACCACACCTTCAATTTTCTACTCGAGGATGGTTACGGTAATCCTGCACTATTCTGATCTCTCTCTCTCTCTCTCTCTTGCATGACTCTGATGTTAGAAATTTCCTTGCAATTTAGAAAGTATCCCTCAGAGCAATCTAATTATGCTAATTTGACAAAATTTCCATGAGATTTAGAAATCCCTTTTTTGTGCTTAGGAACCCTAGAATTGGGATCTTTTGATTTGTTGTTTGTTCATTTAAAATTAACTCAAAGCTGTGCTAAGATTATGCTTTGGTATACCTGTGCTCATTTTGGTTTCGGTCAAGTTGAATGATGGCTGCATACTTTCGAGATTGGTTATGTTTTTTCTTCGCTCTGAATTGGAAATTGAGATCTGCGAATTTTTCAGCATGTGAATCACATTTTTTATCAATGAAAATGGAATAGAAGTTGGATTGAATTTTGATGTACTGGATCTGGTTTTGAAGCAGATTCAACTTACTATGGGGCCGTTCACATGGCACAATGATTTCCGTTTTTGGTTCTGTTTAGCAGTTTGATTTTGATTTTCCTCTATGTTTGTTTACTTTTGTCGGTTCAGTCATAAGTTTTGTTACCTGCCCATCCGACTAACGAAGATGAATTTGAATGAGAAGTAGAATTTGCGTTCTGAAAGTCGAACTAAGTTTTGTTTCTTAGAAGCATTGGGTTTACAGGAGTTCATTTTGCATGGCTCTACTTCGACATTGAATTCTGCTTTGAAATTTAGAGGACTGTTTGTTATTCAACTAATAGATGAAGAGGCATTTATCACTGATCAATGCAAACGATATATGGAGACCTTTTTTCTTTCATGTTTATGCGTGCGTGGCCCTTTTTCTTGTCAAAGAATAGTTCTCTCCCATGATTGGGCTCTCTTTGATGTTGAAAATTTTCATTTTTCTTTTACTTTGTAGCCCATACATCCTTGATTGATAACGCGTGTTTGGTACCATGCATCCATGGTAACGCTTCATTTCAATGTTTTCCTTTGCTTCCCTTAATCTTGAGATATCAGACGTCTTGGTAGGACTTGAATCAAAGTCTTCAAACAAGATTTATCTTGAGACTGAAGTTGTGATAGCAATCCTGCAAAACTTCCTGTTGAGAATTTGAGATACCTTCTGGCTGGCCTTAGGGGTAATAAAAAATGCATGGCCAGTTTCGTGATTCCATGATGACAAATACATGATTGTCAACTCCAAAATGTTGGTGCCTTACTTTTGTCAGCAACTATTACCGCTGCTTCCATAACCTCCACAAATTATATTTTGACTTCATTGGATCATTTTGCCATACTGCTGAAACTCAAGATTTACTTCATCATTAAGTTACACACAATGACAACTTATGCTTTGTTTGATGAACGGGATTTCTTGCAGCTTACTGTGTTGTTGCAAAGGAATCTGTTAGCAAGCAGATCTCCATTGCTTTCCTAGAACGTGTCAAAGCAGACTTTAAGAAAAGATATGGTGGTGGAAAAGCAGATACAGCTGTTGGCAAAAGTCTCAACAAGGAGTTTGGGTACACTCATTTCTTCCTAATCCCTTTGTTGATATGTTAATGCATGGATAGAAAAGTTTGCTTCTGAAGATGAATGATATCATGAATGAATGTACATTTGCAGACCGGTTATGAAAGAGCATATGAAGTATATCATAGACCATGCTGAGGAGATTGAAAAGCTAATAAAAGTGAAAGCTCAAGTTTCAGAAGTTAAAAGTATAATGTTAGAGAACATCGACAAGGTACCTTAATTTTTTCAGGTGTAAAACATGGAAGTACCTTAATTTTTCAGGTGTAAAACATGGAAATATTTTTTATATTCATTCATTTCTTAGTGCATTGTCTCTTTGTATCCTTCTCTAATTTATAATTCATTGCAATTTCATGTTTTTCTCTCATGTAAGAAAAACTCCATCTTTCTCTGCTTGTGGCATTTTACTTCCATCATAGCAATGGCGGTACTTGGTAAAGCAATAAACATCTGTGCTTAACACCCCCCCCCCCCAGTATTGTTGGGGACAACTTGTAGTGGAAGTTCAATAACTATTCCTGTAGTTTAGAATTGAGCTTCGTTTGGTCCTTGTCACATTTGCAAATATGTATCTTCATGAAGTTTCTTTGCATGGATTAATGTTTTTCACACGTTCCCCATTTTCTCCTGGGTGTAATATTTGAAGTTCATTATATTAAGATGCATATGATCATTATGATGTAATACATTCTGATCTTTGTTTTCATCATTGCACATGCTTTCAGGCTATTGACAGAGGAGAAAATCTAACCATCCTTGCGGACAAGACAGAAACATTGAAGTCACAGGTAAGTTGACTAAAGTTAGACAACCAACCTTTCTGGTCATATGTTTTCTAGGGCTGAGAATCGCATGTGTTTATTTTCAGGCCCAAGAATTCAAAAGCAAGGAACACAGGTCCGTCGGAAGATGTGGTACCAGAACATGAAAATCAAGTTGATTGTTCTTGGAATTTTGTTGTTTTTAGTCCTCGTTATCTGGCTCTCTGTTTGCCACGGATTTGACTGTACAAATGACCCGTGATCTTTCAGTTTATATATTGGTTCTTTATAATGGTGTCTACATGTAGTGAATAGGGAAGAAAATCTGGTTTGAAGGGGATTTTGGCCACTAAAAAGAAAAGGTTTACTACCATCTTTGCTGGCCGGTATCCTGTAGTATTTACAAATTCTTAAAAAGAGGAAGGAGAATGTCACTATATCATGTGCTGGAAAAATACTGTGTTGTAGTTTTCTTTTTCTTTTTTTTTTTTAAGTACGAAAATGTAATTTTTGTTTCACAGTTTGATCTTGAACCATGTGATTTTGGCTCCCCTGTTGAAGGGTGTTTTTGTTTCATATCATTTTCTTATGTGACAACCATGTAACTGTTCATCCAGATTTAAATTGCGTTGGGTCTTAAGGGGAAGTAAAGTCTCCTAATTGAGCCTTTTTAATTTT